ATGGTGTGAAGAAGGCGACGATGGAGTATCCTCTCCATCATCTTGCAAACACAGGAGGTAAGACTAATGGGTCGATATTTCCCAGGATCTCCCGGCTTAGGGATGGGGATAATAGTGGCATTTTTCCAGTTGGACAGGAGAACCCCATGTTCATAAGACATATTGTAGAGAGCAAGCAAGGGGCCGTTAGAAATATTAGTACAGGCGTTGAGGACGGAGTAGGTTATCTGATCATCCCCAGGAGAGGTGTCTTTTCTAGAGCGACGAGCACTGTCAAGCTCGAACTGTGTGATGGGATGATCAGTGGGGGCAGGGGAACGTTGCTCTAATGGAATCTAGTGCCGTTAATGCTCACCCGCTGTTTCCTGTCCTGCAACCACGCCCTAATCCATTTTAGAATGTCGCCTTTAATGCCATGAGCCTCTACTTTTCTTATTAGTCTTTCGTGGGAGACTCTGTCGAAGGCTTTGCTAAAGTCGAGATATACCACATCATAATTGTGCCCCTCGTCCAATGATACGAAAACTGATGAAAAGAATGTTAATAGATTAGTTAGACATGAACGCCCGCTTGTGAAGTCATGCTGGAATCATTGATCAAATTGTGCTTCTCCAAGTGATTTCGAATAGAGTTCGGAATGATTGCTTCCAGTAATTTGCCTACAATTGATGTTAGACTGATTGGACGGTAGTTAGAGGATAGTGATCTATCTCCCTTCTTGAAAATCTGTATTACATTCGCTATCCTCCAGGATTCTGGTACTACACCTGTTTTCAATGACATGTTAAACAACTTTGTTAAGGGCATAGTAAGCTCTTCCTTACATTCCTTTAATACTCTGGCAAATATCTCATCGGGACCAGGTGACTTATTAGGCTTTAGTTTGTCTATTTGCTTACTAACATCGTTATTAGTAACTACTATCTCGCTTAATTTGTTTTCTTCACTATCTCTGTATAGAGTCGGTACCTCGGGTATCATGTTTAAATTTTCGGTGGTGAAAACTGTTGAAAATTTTTTATTCAGATTATTGCTCATTTCTCCGTCGTTATCAGTTTGCTCGCCGGTATCTGACTGTATTGGTCCAATCTTTTCTCGTGTTTTAGTTTGTTACATTTTATAGAATACCTTGGGGTTTGACTTCGCCTCCCTTGCTATCCTCAGCTCATTATTCCTCTTTGCTATTCTTATCTCGGTTTTAACCCTATCGGCCAATACCTTATAATAATCTCGGAGGTAAACTTTGCCATGATTTGTCCTCCTACCTATATCCTTCCTTTGACCAATAATGTTCTTTAAATAATTATTTATCCATTTGGGGTTATTGATATTTGATCTGAGATTTTGTATAGTATGTTCTGCCTTTGTGCATTAAGTAACTTATTATGTAAAGTGTCGTGGAACACGGCATACTCTGATCTCGTTATCAGGTGAGTCTCAACCATCAGGTCTCCGGGTAGGGTGAGGTCGCCCTCTGTGGGTACATTGTAGGTCACATCATGTGAGGTCATGTAGTTTACCCCCAAGCGTGATACCCCTTCTCTCAACTGCCTCTTCAAACTCTCAAAGATTGCACTACTGAAATCTGGGACATTTGTAGAATTTTCCTTACGGCTGCCCTGAAAATCTAACTGGAATCTAATTTCTTTGTGATCGCTGTTTGCAAGTTCATTCCCTACCTCGACATTATTAATGAGGTTTTCTTTGTTTGACACAAGTAAATCTAGTATATTATTACCCCGGGTGGGTTCGGTTATATGTTGGCTTAGGAAACAGTCCTGGATTGTTTCAAGAAAATCCTCTGATTCTAAGTTACCCACAAAGTCATTCCAATCTATTTGGCTAAATTTAAAATCGCCTTCTATACAGACTTTGCTGTGTATGGAAACCCTGCACATTTCATCCCAAATAAGTCACTCATTAAATCTATGAAGATTGGGAGGTCTATATGTTTCTCCTGTGATTAATTTTACCCTACCGTCGATTAATTCTATCCAAATTGTTTCTGTATTCCGCTCAGTTTTTATTTCCTTATTTATTTCACACTTCAGATTATCCCTGACATAGATTGCTACTCCATCCCCTTTCCTAATCTGCCTATCGGTATGGAATAAATTGTAACCTGCAATTTGGTATTCGACAGGTAACTCACGTGAGTCTAGGTTTATCCATGTTTCAGTGAATGCTATTATATCGATTTTTTCGATACATTCCAAAGCCCTAATATGATCCATTTTGTTTCTCATACTGCTACTGTTAGCATAGTAGACATTTAAGAATGTCGTGTTATGAGTCCTCTCCTTGTCGCGTTTAGGTTTTAACTCCCTGTCTAATTTAGTTTTGTCGTCATTCCTAACACTATTTCCCTGTAACCTTTCACTTTGTTTACCCGCTCCCACTTCAGTCTACCTTCACCCTCGTGCTCATATGTTCCCCTAGCAGTTTAAAGACTTTGATATCATTTGAACTGCCCTCTCGAGAGACCCAGCCAGGGTTGCCACCCCATCCCTAGCATAAAGGTCCTTTCTGCCGTAGAAGTTGTCCCAGTTGTCAATGAATGGTACTGATATTGACTTGCAATATCTGTCAAGACGGCCGTTGACACCAACTGCCCTTGACAACCATTCATTGCCAACTCTCCTTCTAGGCAGGACACTACATATGATAGGGATCCCTTCCTTAGTCCAAATACATTCTATAGCTGCCTTGAACTTATCAAGAAGCTCCTCACTCCTACACCAGCCAATATCATTGCCTCCTGCACTGAGGCAGATAATGGGTTTGTTCCCATTACCAGGCAAGATATTGTCCATCCTGTCAACTATATCCCCCACCCCAGCTCCTGGCAAACACACCCTCATCCTATTTTTATTTTTACCACAAAAAGCTCTGTCCAAGTACAGTACCTGTGAGTCGCCAACAAATAAAGTTTTCGTACCTTCCTTGTCAGTCCTTTCCCTGGCTATACTATCGTCCAATTAATTTGTCAAAGGGCTGAAAGAGTTGGTACACTTAGCTGCTGTTGACGTATCCTTGGTGGGTTTTTTCACCACCTGGGTGCTTTTTTTCACCACCAATTTGGTCGTCCCTCTCCTCACAACCTTCCATTCGCCTGAGTTTTCGTCAGACAACCCTGTTTTTCCTGTCTCGTTTCTTCCTTCAACCTCGCCATTTATTCTTTTAATTTCAAGATTTCTTCCTTGGCCCTCTCCAACTCGGCCCACAAAAGGGCACAGCCCTGTTCACAAGTAGCACTAGCCATTACTGACAATTATCCCCAGGAGCTAAGCCGCTGTGACCTTTCCTCAAGTGAGGTCAGAACACAACTTTTTGGCAGATGTGTGGCGATTTGAAGGTTTTAGCTCTTCTTACTCGGCCTTCAAGGAGGGTTCACGAAGTATTGCTGTTTTCTGTGTTTATGGGACAGCAGAACAACAGAAAAACTACAACACAAAGGACTGGCCAAAGAGAGAAGAGTTTGTTCCAGGTAAAGTCAACGTTAAATACACTCCCTTGGTAGATCCAAACGATCTACTTCTACCTCCTTTACACATCAAGCTCGGACTAATGAAGAATTTTGTGAAGGCTATGGACAAACAAGGTGATGGGTTCGTGTACTTGAGGGGAAAATTCCCACAGCTCACTGATGCTAAAGTCAAAGAGGGTATCTTTGCTGGTCCACAGATAAGTAAGTTACTTCGTGATTACTACTTTCAAAACAAACTGGATGAAAATGAGCGAGCTGCATGGAAATCATTCACATCTGTAGTCAAGGGGTTTCTTGGTAACAAGAAGGAATAAAACTATTGCCAACATGTAGAGGAACTCTTATAAAACTACAAAAACTTAGGATGCAGGATATTCCTGAAAGTCCACCGCCTGCACTCGCATTTGTACTTTTTTCCTGAGAAGCTGGGGACGTTTAGTGATGAACATGGAGAGTGATTTCATCAAGACATTAGACGTATGGAGGAAAGGTACCAGGGTAGATGGGATCCTGCCATAATGGGGGACTATTGCTGGTGTTTACAATCGGAGGACAATACAACACATAAAAGGATGAAATAAAAAACCAAATGCCCATACAGTGGTTCATTTAATACTTCTTGCGTCTCCTTATGATTGTTTTCATTTTTTTTAGTGTGATGACGTGGAAAAAGGTAACGGGAAAATAACAGGAAAAATAGTATTTTTCAGTTTTTGTATTTGTATTTTTTTTATAACAAATAAACTATACGTGCCAGAGAATTTTTATTACCAGATTTGAAATCAGCACCTGAAAGTTATCAAAAGGAAGCTGCTCTAAACCATGTTACGGATTTTTTGTTGTTGTTGTTGTTGCCGAGTGAGTCGTACTCGCAGAGTGGACAAGTGCCAGCGGCGAGGCAGGTCCTGGCTAAGTGACGCGGACTGCCTTGCCGGCCTCTTACAACAACTCGTGTAAAATGAATCTTTAGTTTCGAAACATGTGAGTTTCGTATTCATGCAAGATGTGAAATAAGACAGGGTAATTCATTCACAGTATATTTGGTAGATCCTGTTGCCCGGGTGGGCTTATCCCGTAAAAAAAAAAAAAAAAATTATATATATATATATATATATATATATATATATATATATATATATATATATATATATATATATATATTAAATATATATATAAATATATATAAATATATATATAAATATATATAAATATATATATATATATATATATATATATATATATATATATATATATATATATATATATATATATATATATATATATATATATATATATATATATATATATATATATATATATATATATATATATATATATATATATATATATATATATATATATATATATATATATATATATATATATATATATATATATATATATATATATATATATATATATATATATATATATATATATATATATCGCAATGATTACTCAGTATATATATATATATATATATATATTTATATATAGAGTAATCATTGCGAATTCTAAAATTAATAATTTTTTTTATGACATAATACAATAAATACGTTAAGAACCACCAAAATATTAATTATATTGACATTACCTTCCTAAGTACATCATAATATGTATTTTTAGTTCGAGACTTCTGCTGGTAAAGGTGTTCACAAGACTACTGTAACAAAGTAGTGGTATCCGAGAACCTGTAGCTCTTAAAATTGTTTCTCATTATCTCCGAGGAAGGTGACGCCGTAACCCAGCAGTCATTCCTAGCATGAGGTCAGGTGATACTGGGATAGGTGTTACTAAGGCGAGGAACGGATGTGAGCAAAAATCTCCCTCAGCAGGTTGAGGGAGGCAACACTGCAGCCCAGAATCAAGAGGTAGAAAGCGCCCTGCAGGTGGTGCATCCCCAATACCACCTCACTGCTGTCGTCCTAGGAAAGATTAGTATTTAATGCAGTTGCTTGACTTTCATGAATTACAGTGAACACACGTTCTGATGGGCATTTTTTTTATTATTACAGATATGTTTGTAATGATTCGGTATTACCTAACAGTTACAAATCTAATTATAATACACAAAGACACAATGGATGATGCTTAGTGCCCATAGATCTGACTTACAGGCAGACATATCGTACTGTTTTATTAATTAATTAATTTATTTATTTATTTGTTTGTTTATTACAGTTAACTCGGTTCAACAATAATGTTTTGTTTTTTTAGGTTAAGGCACAGCCAGACATGAGGGATAGAGAAGTCACAACATATAGTCGTAGGGAGAAAGGTTGGAAAAGAAGTTTAATGAGTTAAACAGAGGGGGGACGACACCCCTTGTTTTACATATTACAGAGTTTGTTGGCTAACTAAGATAACCTAGGATTTAGGATGAGGTTGCACTATGGATACTTTGGTAGACAATGACTAGTATGATTTTACAATTACATGTTTATTAAAATCTTATTACTGTATTACGTTATGAACTCACTAGATTGTGACTTGTCAAAAGTGATCTTTTATCATCTGAGTTTTAATCTAAGGTGGATCACTCTGGCAGACAGAGATGGGTCGCGGGTTGGGTTGTTGTAGTGCGGGCAGACTTCGTGGCCACCTGGTGTGGGGTGACCCTCCGTTGATGTCTTCCCCGTTTAGGTGGTCTGGGCTGTGAGGGTCGTCCAGGAGCTTGTCCTAAACCTTCTTCCCAAGGCGACTGAACCTGACGTATAGGGTCTCCGTTATATTTCTCAGGTGGATGGTTTCCACTGTGTCCTGGTAGGGCAGCGCTTTGCCACTGGTTGACCTCAGACACTTATTTTGGAAGTTCTGTAGTTGTTGTAGTCCGGTCTTCCCGAGTGTGACGAGTGGTACGTGTGGGAACTCCAACACAGGCCTCACCAGCGCCTTGTACAGGTGGACTTGGATCTTCTCAGGCATCAGTTTAAAACGTTTAAATTTGGCCAAGGCGACTTTGGCTTTCTTTAGTCTGTCCTTCACGAGAGACTAATGCCCGTCCGAGAGATGATAAGGCCGAGCAATCTGCCTTGTTTAGAGAACTCAATCTCTTCGTCGTCGATCATTAATGGGGCCGGCTTTAATTTGGCTATGGGTATTAATTCGAATTTCGTATTGCTTGTTTTTATCTTCCATTTCTTCTCATACCCCAAGATATCCTCTACTTCCTGAACAGTAAATCGCCCCATCCTTGTGGTGGACCTTCACATCGTCGGCATACATGAAGTACTCGCTTCTGACGATTGGGGGTGGCAGGTCACCCGTGTAGAGCATGTAAGGGGTTGGTGAGAGACAAGAGCCCTGCAGCACGTCGCTAGAGAGTGAGAATTCCTTCCCACAATGTTCTTGCATCTTGATTTTGGCTCTGCGGTCTGTAATGAAGTTGCACAGTTGTATGATCTTATACTGCAGCCCCGCGTGCCAAACCTTGCCAAACGCCTCAGCACTACGTTGCAAAGCAGGCGACCAGTCATGGTGTTGGCGATTTGCTCGTAGGCTTGGGCTATGGCGGTGGATGTGACTCGGTACTGGCGGGGATTATGCACGTCTTCGCCCTCTAGATACATCCGCAACCGCGTATTTACTATTTTTTCGAGGATCTTGGTTGGTACCTCTAGCAGCGATATTGGTCGAAAGTTTTCGACTTTGTTTGGAGGCTTCCCTGCTTTTGTTATGAGGCGGATAACGGCGATTTTGAACATCTCAGGGAAGTATCCAGAGGCGAGGCAGGCATTGCATATATGAGCAAGCTTCTCTATCATGTTGTCGGGGAGTTGAGCCAGGATCTTCTTGTTAATATGGCTTTGCCCAAGTGACTTTGTTTTAAACCCTTTTATGACGGCTGACACATTTGCAGAAACTATACGCTCCTGTCAGGTAGCTTCTGTCCACCAGTCTAGTGAAGTCAGTCCGTTCGAGCGGCTGGAGCAGGTGCTGATGGTCCTGCAACTGACCTAAAATGTCCTCCTCAAACTCCCTGTCGAAGCCCTCGTTCTCCTGTTCACTAATGGTAAAGATCTTTCGTAAATATCGCCGTTGTTCTTGGCTTTCCTTCTCGAATATTTTCTCGGTGTTTCGGTCAAGCAGGTAAGGGGCCGTATTAGAGGTGGAACCCATCAGTTGCTTGATCCCCTTCCAGAACGCAGCAGAGTCGCGGTAGTTGTTGGCTGCCTCCTACACAAAGGCGGCTCACTTTTGTTCATGTAGACATTTGCTCTCGTGTTGGATGTCCATCTGTCGCTCTCGGTATCAGTCTCTCAGCTCCTGCGTCCACCCGTGGATACTGACTAGCTGTCTCACGTGATCGTACTGGACACTGAGCTGCCTCAGCTGGTGTCGAGTGTGAGGATGGGGAATGGTCCTATGAGTGGTGGTTGGGATGTTGTTGTCCATCTCCGTCTTCACATCAGTGTACCATTGCTCGACCGTTTCGTCGATGCCATTGGGGCTGGCCTCTTTCAGGTTCCTCCCCTGCTTGAGACTGAAAGACTCTTTGAAGGAGTTCCAGTCAGCCCGTTTGAGGTTTGACCTGATGTTGGCAGGGATCATAATGGGAATGGATGAGAGCGTCACGACGACTGGCAGGTGATCGCTGGTACTGATGGGTCCGGCGGTAACGTGCCTGTTCATGACGGCCTCGGTGTTAGAGAGGATTATGTCGGGTGTTGTGGCACTGGCACGTCTGATCAGTGTAAGGAAATCATGCCCGGGGTGTTGCAGTTTTTCCTAGCTGATGTTGTCAAACAGCGCCACACTGACGTCGCTCTCATTACCGTGTCCGAATATGGCATGGCGCACATTAAAGTCTCCTATAATGTATATTGGTTTTCTGTGGCGCAGCAGCTGGTTGAGGTCTTGTTCGGGTAAATAAGGATGTCTGAGAAGGAAGTTACATCGTGCATATGATAACAGGTGCTCTGGTGGTCTCCACCTGCACGTCTTTAATTAAATCCTCGAACCCTCACAACACTGTGACTTAGCCGTGATTTGATGGTCACAGCGACACCATCGTTCACCTCACCCGTCATGTCCCTCTGGTATACAGTGTAGCCAAAAAAATTTCAGCTTATTTTCATCCTTTATACCAGTACTGCTTAACAGAATAATGTCTGGGTCTAATTGATAATATATGTTAGACAGCTAGCCAAGCGCTAACACCTAACAGTGGCAGTATGAAGCAATGCCGAATCCTTCACAGAAAATGTTGCCACCCTTACTGTCACGCCCGCAGGGTTTCACGTCGTTACCAAACAACAGGGACTCTAGGCGAAAGGATAGGGCAGGGAAGAGGCGTGGTGTCCAAGAATAATTATATTAATGTACAACTATGGAGATAAAGCAGCCAGACGAGCCCAACGTGAAAATAAAGGCTGACAGTAGTAACGGTCAACAAATTGAGCGCTAGCCGCGAGCGATGGCAGCTCGTCCACCTGCTCTGATGGATGGGTCTCAGGGCCAATTGCAAGAACATCCACGGTGTACACCATGCTGTGGTAGCCCCATGGTCGGTTTGTAAGAAGCACTCTGGGCTAAAAAAAAATAAAAAATATCTACGATTCGTTATTGGAACGTGGGAGATTACCGTAGTACTTGCAACCCCGCCCAATGACCACTACGATGGAACTATATTTTTAAACCGAAAGAAAAGAAACAGAATTGGATGCACATAAATTGTATAAGTCTGCAAAGGAATAATATTTTTTTATAAGATATCCTCCATATTGAACAGCACATGAAGAATTTTATTGGTTCTTTTTAAAAGAATTCCATGTTTGTGTAGGAACATCCGCCAGCCTCTACTTGCCTCATCACCGCTTATGTCCTCCAAATTCTCCTAACCATCATAAAAGGTAAGTCTTTAAGATCTAATCCAAATGATTTATGTGTAGAAATGTATGGAAATCAAATTAAGCTAAAAAAATCGTAAGTGGTCTATTTAAAGTGGTGAGAACTGCTCCATCTAGGATGGTGAATGACGTCCCTTATCAGAAATTATATCGACCCAATTTTCGTAGTGAGCGCAATTAATAACCGTCCAGTACTACCAAAATAATTACTTCATTAGTATAAATACTTAGTAGCCTAAATTTCATATTTTAATAAGTCCAAATATGCCAGGTAACCAGTGCCAGGTAGTTCCCAGGCATGTTTCATTTGTGTATCAGTATAACCACAATTTGTTACTAATAAGATAAATTCAGTGACATAAATTGATGTTCTTTTTTTTTAATTCCTTTAGTGACTCAATGTATTACAAGAAAGAACTACCTTATCATTTTTTTTGCATCATTTGGAGTGATGGTAATAATTCACTTTGCCATTGACAGTGGTAGAATCAAGTGCAGATATATTGGCTTTGTATGTCCATGATTCCAACAAAAATGAATAATGTCTTCCAAAATAAATGAAATTAAAGATCTTATTATCTTTTCGGTCAGCCAGTGAATTTTAGGATTTTAAGTTGACCGATGTTTTTCAGTTAGGTTTAGTTAGGTAGGTTACGTTAACATTTTGATGTAGAACATTAAAATTTTAAAGGGTTTATAAAAAAATTTCTGTGAATTTCTCCGAAAAAAAAGAGATCAAATTCTTGAAATCACCTTCAAAATCTACATTAGAAGAAAAAAAATCAATTTTTTTAGTTTGTTGCATATCAAACCAAACAAAACTGAGTTTCCATTGGAATTATTTACTTTTATTTTTTTAACAGACAAAATTACCCACAATATGTAGGTGTTGAAAACTTATAAATATTAACCCTCATGAATAAAGATTATTTTCACTTACAGTTGGAAATACAGCTGACTATTCACCTTTCACCAATACTGAAGATATAAATCTTGGTATCATAATTGATGGGGAATTTTTCCGGTTCCTGGAACGATTTTGGAATCTGCTACCTAACCTAACCTCGGAATTGGTTCCCAGACTCTGAACAGAAAAAAATGAAGAAGTTCCGTAAAATCCCAAAATTACTCATAGACCAGAAAAAATGCAGTTTCTGGAATTTTCATATTTATGCCTTAGAGAAATCATAATATATGCCTTAATTATTATTATATTTTTAAATTTTACACTCTGCATACATACATGGATATTACGTATTACAGTAATATATTTGTGAAATTTGTGGATGATTTTTCCTTTAAAATACTGTACACTGTACTCTTGATCAACCATATATTATAACATATCCTGCGTTTAATAAAGGCTCTAATCTGACATAAGCATTATCATTGTATTCTTATCATTATTATTATTACAGTTTATATTAAACATTAAAAAATGCAGGAATAATTTGCAATTAACATTGCAGACTGAATTGAGAATATTTTTAAACCATTTAATTATCATCTTGTTCTGTGTTTAACATTATTAGTCTCTGATTAGTTGATAGAATTTCATGAATATACCTACTGTATATGGGTTCCATGACATTTGCTCACAAGATGAACCTAACCTAACTTAACCTAACATGTCTTCCTTTCCATTATAGTTGAGTATATGGCTTGTAAACAAATGTCTGCACACTAACTATATGAAGACTCTCTGGTGAGGATCCATATACAGTATTTACATGGAATATTTTTCCAAATAAAAGACCATTTAAACAGCAAATACTTTTCTCCAAATGCTAGTTTACTCCATGTCATTAACATATTGTATACATTTTTACTCCTGAGTCCTGACATTGGGAAACTGTTCATGTCTTGCTATCTTTCTCAGGGTATTTATTGCATTCCTATAATCAGGTGCAGACAAGTAGGAAACATTATCTTGTAGATAACTGGCCTTTATACTTGTACAATATGAAAGTAAAGATTTTGGGTACAAAGATAATTTCCTGTTAGATAGAAAACTAACAGTTATGGTGATATTTTTTCAAGATTTTATCCCAATTCATCTGTACAGTGAGTTCATCACTGTCATAGAAAAATTATAATACCTAATGCTGTACTTTTTTATATTCTACAGACTTCAAGCACAGAACAGGCCATAGTTCTCTTTATTTACATACACCCAACCCCAAGTTCATGACAAACTTATTACTTTATTGTTAGCTTTAATAAGGATAAAGAAGAAAGGAACAGATACTACACTCTATTCCTACGTTGTTATGCTTGTCACAGGCTTTATTTACCTATATTCACTGTAAATGCTCGTATTTCATTCCCAGAATTGGCTTATAATCAAAGAAAATAGGAAAATGAGGTGCACCTTAGCTTGGGATTCAAGTTTTTCATGCTCGTAAATCGTGTAGCAAGAGTAAACGTTTTTTGCCACTGACAACGTTTGGAGGGTGCAAGCATACCAACCTCCAAGTCTTCCGCCAGTTGGTACACCTGACTACACTACGATGACGTAGTAACAACAAACGACGGTCGGGTGCCACCATGGCCCATCTTGAAAAATCACACAATTTTTACTCCATTGCATTACGACCGCCGGGATTCCACAGAGTGGTGTACACCACGGCAGATCTTGCAAGTGGCCCTCAATTGTTTGGTATTACATAAGTATATGTGTTGTGTAAAGTAAATTCATCTAATATTCTAATTCTGGTGAACATTTTGCGCTTGTTATGTTTTTGTTAGCACAAGAAATCGATTAAAGGGGTTGCTAGTTTTACTGACTACCTTTTATTCAATCAATATTTCTGACTTAACCCGTCTTAAAATTCATTGACTAAGAAACAAAATCAACTGGCGTATACATCCTGAGTTGAGTCAGTGTTGAGTTCACTGACCTAGATAATACTGATTACCATAAGACCAGCAGAAGCTAGAGAAGATCTGAGATTCACCTCTTTTGTGTCCTGCTTGGCTGCGTTAAGGTTTAATGTTGAGGCCGCCCTGTTCTGTTTCACACGTCTATTAATCACCTCCTTTGTCCAGTAGTTTATAAGCCCTGCATCTTCCAGCCGGGACATTAACTGAAGAAATCGGGAAAGAAATGGCGCACCCTGCCTAGAAAAAAACACCGAAAATAAGCTAATGTTAGAACTACGCAGTGAATGTTATCACTACGTACCTTTCTCCTCACATCCAGGCAACTACTGTACACGTATATTTAGCATAACATCTACATTACGAAGTTCGTAAATTTGTAAACAGTATTACACAAATATTATAAATTCCATGTGCATGACTTTCATGTGGTGCATAATCATCACAGTCATTCTTTGTACAATGATAAGTCTTCAACAGTAGTTGATAGTTCTCGGGAGACAAAATTCAAGATCGTCACAAGTCTTGACCAAAAAAAAGGGTCTTTATTTCCATAAGAATTTTAGAACTAACATAATATGGTATAATATATAATTCAAGATGATTAATTATATTATACTCCATACTAGGAAAAATATATTATTCGAATTAAGAAGCTGCAGGTACAGTCTAGCAGGCATTATGCTCGGGCAAGATGAAAAGTGCTTTGTAATTTTTGTTCATTAGCTGTATTACTTGCTTAGTCTTTATATATATATATATAAAAAAAAAAAAAAAAAATATATATATATATATATATATATATATATATATATATATATATATATATATATATATATATATATATATATATATATATATATATATATATATATACAGAGAGGAAGCCAACCACCCACTGCCATCTTAGGCACCACTTACCTGAAGCCCCAGCCAAACGCAGCTATAACTGATATTCCTTTATTGCTGATGTAGAAAGAAGTGTCGCCATGTGTGTCTGTGTACCAGGAGGCAACCACCACTTCAATGTAATTCTTGTGGTCGATGAGGGAGAACCCTCCATCCAGCACCTTCTTCAGTGCCTCATCTGCTACTAGGACCTGAAGATACATACAGATTACTATCATTTATTAATAGGAATAATTACACACACACAGACAATCACATACACATACACACCCACAGTGAGTTACTTGCATATATATATATATATATATATATATATATATATATATATATATATATATATATATATATATATATATATATATATATATATATATATATATATATATATATATATATATATATATATATATATATATATATATATATATATATATATATATATATATATATATATTTACTGGACTTTTAATTTCTCACTTGACTTGGGGTTTATTAAAGATTATTAGATGGTAATTGCAGTGGAAGCGCCCCTTAGTGAGAAATCCCGAACCAGCACTAGAGCACTTAACTTTACTAACCAAAATGAATTGTCCGTGACCCGTGGAAGGATAGTGTCTGTGACTGGGATGAATGAGACAGACTGTAAAATTTACACTTAAATTCCCTCCAACACTACAAACACAATCAAATAATGGTACACCAATATGTGCACTTCTTAACCTGAACTTAAAATACTACTCTGGGGAATAAAAGTTATACATGATGTTGAAATTATTGGAAACTCAGGCAATGCCTCATGAGAGGACAATAAGTTTAAAGTATGAAGAAATGTTGCTTGCACACATGAACCAGGCCTTAAGGGCTTTGAACAAAATATCAATCACTGAGAAAATGGTTTCAAAAAAATAAGAAATTAATTACTCTACAATGAATAGGCCTTAGGGGCACTCACAAAAAGTATATCCAGCACTGAAAAAATGGTATAAAAATCAGAGCTTATTAACTCCACCCTGAATAGGCCTTCAGGGCGCTCAACAAAATTATATTACCCCAACAGATACACACCTCCTAACCTAACTTAAACACTACTCTGGGGAACAAAGGTTATACCTGAGATTGAGATTAGAAAGAAATATTAAATGCACACAGCATACATTAGTAACTGAAAAAATAGTATTAACTACACACAAAAATATTGTCACTATTATTAAGAAGTTACTGAGTCCACCAATACCCGTGAACCATGCTTCCTAACCTAACACACACACAGATTCCACCTGCACTCCGTAGTCGTTTAGGGCACAACCAACAGGCACCCGTAGTTTAAGGCCCAAATCAGCCTTTCTCCACCTTGGAAAGTGTACCTCTAAACTCCACTGACTCTTGGCCCCAGTGTGCGGCCCTGTATCACTCAGCTGGCTTCATTTTACCCCCAGTATATCCATGAAGCGGAAGGGAGTGAGCCAATCAGACCTTGTACAGTTGAGAGAAGCTTTAGCTTCCCGTTAGTAAAATTTTTCACTAAGCTGCTTGAAGATATGTGGTATTGTGAGCCGAGGTAGAGGAGAGTTGATGACCCCAAACGATCGTCACGTCGTTAGTTGGTCACCTAGACAGCTGGGTTCACTCCAACTCTCACCATACTCAACAGGTGGCTCAAACCCAGTTCAGTGGACGGTCATACAACTCGCTTCACCACTCGTGTCTCATACCGCCAGTGGACGTTATCATACCGCGTGGGGTCTACAGAACCCTGAAAAACCCGGGCTGTTAGCTATTGTCTCACATCACCGTTTGTTCCTACCGCCCTATCAAGCTTTGTCTGTGATTGAATAAAACTTACTTGTTAATACTGATGTTAAATAAACGAAGGAACCAGGGCACAAGATCCGTCTCTCCTGGGTACAGCACAGAGGTGGTCCTTGACCTCTCTCACTGCTCCCAGGCCACCTTGCTCCCTGGTTCACGCTTTCCGGGAGTGACTTATTTACCAGACGATTAAAATTAATTAGGACGTACTCAACATTTTCAGACTGGGAAACGATCTATAATTATTTTCAATTTAATAACTGATATTTAATTTCATGATTCGCGTCCCTATTAACTCGGTAAATTACATTTAAGTCATATAGACCTAGTTCCACAACTTCTCTCTATGTGCAGGGAGCGCTCTCTTCCCTCAGACGACCTTGAAAACTCAGTATCACCAATGTCGCGGCGTTTGAAATTACTCTGAAGTTTCTGAATATTACATATATATATATATATATATATATATATATATATATATATATATATATATATATATATATATATATATATATATATATATATATATATGTATATATATATATATGTATATATATATATATATATATGTGTGTGTGTGTGTTTTTTTCAGTGTGGCTTATGAGTTTACATTTGGTTGTCACGCGCAGTATTCGTGATTTTTTCACACATATATACATGTAGAAGTAACATATGCGTAAACAATCGCACATTCATATATTAGTGGGTTGTTCATTATATAAATTATATAAATTCCCATATAAACTGAAGATGCTATTTGGTTATTGTCTGCTGTTATATCTGTTTTCATCCAACCCGCTATTTTCAGCTGTTTCTGCTTTTTTTGGCCGATCTGCTGTTCCTTCTGTATGGTGTTGTCTATTATATCTACATAATTATTTCCTGTTGATAATATCTGCTGTTATTGAAGCTTTTGAAATCTATCTACAGACGTGGCATAGTTGTAGGCATCTGTTTGACTGGCGCTAGTCCCTGGGTGATTGAGAATAATTGGGTGGGTAGTGTCCTTAGGTTCGGCCCACAAATATCTACTTTCGCAGTCTCCACTGGACAGCGGCTGACACTCCGCCCCTTCACTCTCGTCACTTGGCTCTCTCGTCAAGAGCACGGATGTGAACGTCTTCTTACTCCCTTATCTCAGCTAAGGTTTGTGTGGATTATTTTGTTTAAAGCAATGTTTTGTCTATTTCAACCAGTAATTTATTTCTATTTGCTGGTTTGTAAGGTGCAAATCTACTTTTCATTCTATCCATTATTTTATCTTAATGTGAAACTGGATAACAATGTAAAATGAAAGAGAAAACAGATTCTACATGACAACGCAAATCTACCAACAATAACTCGTTCATTAAATTTTTGGTATTTCAGGAAGACTTAATGTTACTTTGTCTGATAATATATTCACAGAGTCATGTAGATCATTGGTAGATATAAGTGGTTAACTGCATTCCAGTTTCAGAGGATTCACTTTCTTGGCTAGTTCACTGCTCTTGCCTCTTTCCCTCCAAATATTTAATCTAACCTAATAGAACATAACAAATTTGGCTACAAATCTAGTTTAAAAATGCTTAGTGCCTTTAACACCCTAGCAAATGCTCCCATCTTCATCACCGGTGCACCTTCCACATCAGACCCAAAGATTGTAGACTTTTTTTCTGTAAAGAACAGAATATTTGGTGTTTTAATCTTATGGTGGAATGGACCAATCCTCCTTGTTCACTAATTGTCACAATTATCATCGTGCAACAGCGATAAATTGCTTGACGATATGCTCACACATCTTCTTGTTCCCAATTCTTATGGGCCGTTTCATCTTGTCATGGTGCCCGACTGTTATCCTCTCTTATTATAATCATTTTACTCCCCTGTATTTAATCACATCCATAATATTCTGAAATAAATCTTCTTTCATCTATGACATCATTGTAATTCAACACCGAAGCCTCACCTTTCATTCTCAAACTCACAACTCTTTTTTTTCTTTTTCAACTTTGTTTCCCTCCTTTTATTCATGAACTCTAACTTATTCTTTCCTTATTACTTAGATTACATACACGCACACACATACACGCACACACACACACACATATATATATATATATATATATATATATATATATATATATATATATATATATATATATATATATATATATATATATATATATATATATATATATATATATATATATATATTAGGGTGGTCCATATTTACTTTGGAATTTTTTACCACAGACCCTGCTACAAGTGTCCATTTAGGACAAGAACATTGTGTGTAGAGTTATTTTAAAATATATTAATATTTAGAGGTTGCTCAAAGCTGTCAAAAAATAGGTAATCGATGTAGACGATTACTTTGTAGCCGATTACGCCCACCACTAGTGCGTCGCATTCGGCACGATTGTGGTGAGTTTTTGCTGGTCGTGATTGATGACTGGGGAAATTAGAAACAGTTCTGCAGAGTATTCTCATTATTAATTTATATTTATAGATAATTTCTTTATTCCTCAGGTCAAAATGGCTAATGCAGGAGTAAAAACACGAGAAAATGTGTATTTGATAAAGACATTATATGATGACATTACAGGGGCTAAGTTACCTTCAAACAGGCAGGTGTTACAGTATTTTTTAAGCCTGCATCGCATACAGAAAAAACCCATCAGAGTGGCAGCTGGGGAAGTCAGACAAAGTTCTTCAATTTTGGACAAAAGCAAACATTCCCACACACCACAAACCAGATTGTGTGAATCAAGTGCACAAAATGTTTGACAAGTGGAGTAGTTTGAAAAAGAACTCTTCAAGAGAGACAGAAACTCAAAAGCAGACAGAGAAAGAGTTCACTGATACATTTGAAGATCACTTTGACATTGCACATGTGAATGCTTTGAATATGATGACAGTTCAGGATTTCTTAATAGCGCAACGAGAAAAAGGGCGTCGTGGGGCAATGTCATCTCTTGACAAAGTATTCCTGAACAGACAGAAACGACGAGAAAAAACTCTCAAGAAAGCAATGAAAAAGAAGTTGGCTGCAGACAGTGCAGAGGAAGAAGCCAAAAATTGCCAGGCCATCGTTGTCTTGGACAGCAGTAGTACGTCTTCTTCTGAGGAATCCAACCCAGTTCCTGGCCCATCAGCACTTCGAACTCCACCTATTGTCAAGAAGCGTGGGCGAAAAGAAGTTCTAACTCCAGAACTTTCTGCAGCATTAGATCGGACCAAGTCCTCAGATAGAATGGCTATGCACATTGTCACCCAAACTGCTCGGAGTCTGGGCCATGATGTCAGTGAATTGATTCTGAATCGATCAAGCATCAGGAGGATACGTCAGCATCATCGCAGTAGCAGGGCAGCTGAAATCCTTTCAAGCTTCAAACCAGAGTCAGTTTTAATTGTTCACCGGGATGGCAAATTGATGCCTGATTTGATGGGGCATGGGGGCCATGTTGACAGACTCCCAGTTCTTGTCTCAGGCAATGGCACCTCCCAATTTCATGCTGTTCCAAAACTTCCCTCTGGTACCGGTGATGAACAAGCAAAAGCTGTTGTGAAGGCTTTGCAGCAATGGCACATTGCAGACATCGTGCATGGCATGTGTTTTGATACAAAAAGCTCAAATACTGGTCACCACAAGGGTGCGTGTGTCAAAATTGAGCAGTTGCTGGGTCGTGATTTGCTATATTTAGCCTGCCGTCACCATGTTCTAGAACTTGTAGCTGGAGCTGCTTTTGAAGCTGTAATGGGGCACTCAGCTGCTCCTGACATACAGCTGTTCCGAAGATTCCAAGCAAAATGGGAACAAATTGACAAGCAGAAGTTTGAAGACTCCTCCACCGACGATCTGGCAAAAGAATCGGTCAGAGCTGTTAGGGACGATCTAACCAACTTCATTGAGAAGGCTCTATTGGAGGTACAGCTTCGAGATGATTATCGAGAGCTGCTAGAGCTGGCCTCCGTCTTCCTTGGCACATCACCTTCTCGGGGAGTACGATTTTCTGCTCCTGGTGCAATGCACCAAGCACGATGGATGGCAAAGTCCATTTATTCCTTCAAAGTGTGGTTATTCCGTTCTCATTTTAAGCTTACTCCAAAGGAGAACAGAGGATTAAGAAATTTGTGCATTTTCTTTGCCCGAATATATGTGAAGGCTTGGACAAAGGCACCAAAAGGAGATCTGATGTTGCTTAAAGCTCTACAAGACTACAGTACCACCAGCGATGCCATATCAAAGGCAACTTTCCACAAAATGATGAGACACCTCTGGTACTTGTCAGAAGAGTTGGTTGCATTGGCCTTCTTTGATGACGATGTTCTCCCAGCAGTGAAGGACCGCATGTTGGAAGCTATGAACATCGTTATTGGAGAAGAAAAGCATGTCAAACGGGTTACAATCAACCCAGATACACTCCAAGTGAAGAACCTATATGATTTCACGACAAAGAACACAAAGTCATTTTTCAAAAAGCTCAACTTGAATACAGATTTCCTGGCCCTCCCAGTAGAACAGTGGAAAGATGATCCTGGCTTCCAAAATGCAAAAGCCAGTGTACAAGCTTTGTCTGTGATCAATGATCATGCAGAAAGAGGAGTAGCCTTAGTCCAAGATTTCTCAGGCCGCATCACCAAGGACGAACAGCAACTGCAGTATCTACTGCAGGCAGTTGCTGACCACAGGAAATCATTCCCTAATGCCCTCAAGCAGACCTTACTGGGCGACAAAGAGTGAGACTGGTCCTCATGCGACCCCTGCCTTGAGCAGCTAATACCCACTTAGATTAAGTGGGGGGGGGCCCAGGCTTGGGGGCTAGAAAATGATGTGTTATGAACATTAAGCATAGGCATTAATATTGTTAAATTTCATTTGACCTTGAGCAACCTTTAATTATTAAGATATTTAAAAACTATTTTACAGGCAATGTTTCTACCCCAAATGAAAATTTTTGCCAGGTGTCTGTGACAAACAAATAGCAAATTTTGTTTTTTGCCCCAAATAAGGACCACCCTAATATATATATATATATATATATATATATATATATATATATATATATATATATATATATATATATATATATATATATATATATATATATATATATATATATATATATATATATATATATATATATATATATATATATATATATATATATATATATATATATATATATATATATATATATATATATATATATATATATATCCTCACAATGGTGAGCACAGTGTACAATAATATAGTAAATTGTTTCCAGTTTTCATACTTTTTAAAAATAATTATTTTATCAATTCTAGATTAAAAACAAAACAAAATAATACAAAAAGCTTGACACACGAACCTCCATTCCACTATATATCTGCTTCACTATAGGCGAAGTGTGCTTAGAAAAATATTCCAGGGTTGCTCCCTTGTAAAGCCAGGGTTCAATGGCCCACTTCCAACTGTTCCGTTCAAGTATATCCTCAAACCCGTCGAGAGGCTTCGTGGTCCCCTGTACTGTAAGGTGAGAGACCAGCGAGGAGCGAAACCCAGTGTCGATGATCAAACAGAAAACCAGCCACCACCCTACCAGCAACTGTAAACATACAGCAAATATTATGGAATAGAGTAATGGGGATAATCAGGCATCTACCACTCACTCGTAGTAACTGTGAATCATCTTCACTATGTATGTCATACAGATATAAGGGGTAGCTATTCATTATCATTTTAGTGTTGGCACTGGATTAAAATAAACGTGAGGATAACAGAAAACTAAGCTAATACTGTAAATCCAGATGACCTCCAGTGTAGAAAAATACAACTAACATTTAGCTGCGAATGAGATTAAGACAGCGAAGAACACACGAGGTAGTAGAGGATGTAAAAAAAATCATGGAGATAGGAAACTTACTCTTCCGGAGTCGTTGACGGAGGGGTTGGACGGAGGCTGTTCTAGAAGCGCGCCCCAACCAAACAGGAGGGCGGTGTTGAACCTAACACTACGTCCTCCCGCCACCCACCACCACGCCCTCTGCATCAGCCACATAAAGACTCCCCACGCCACCACGCTGGCCAGCAACGCAAACCAGAGGTTTCCTGGGGAAGGTAGAATAATCAATCAATCATCATTCAGAGCAGCGTCCTCATATCTGGGGGCTGACGGCCACAGTCCTTTACTCTAAAAGTTTTCGGGCTGCTTTTACCAATCTTCCAAAGTTTTGTATCGTCTGGGGACCCAACTTTTTTATTTCATTAATCCATCCCAGTTTCTGCCTTTCCCTGACCCTCCTACCCTCAACTTTGCCCATTAATATTGTTGTCATTATCCCTTCATCCCCAATTATATGACCAAAGGAGCTAATTTTTCGTGTCTTGCTCATTTCAAATATTTTTATTATAGGTATTCGCCTATAACACCATATTTCAAAGGCCTTCAACCTTTTTCTGGTGTCTGCTGAAAGTGTCCACGCTTCTAACCCTTGCAATAGTCCTTGCCACATAAGCCTTCCAGCAGCCCCTTTCTCAAATTTAAGTTATTGTCTCCTTTCATTAGGTCTTTTTGATTATTAAATGCTGTTTTTGCTTGCCTTATTCTTGTTTTGATTTCTTCCGTACATCTACCATCACAGCTAATATTATTTCCCAAATACAATTTTTTTTTCACTTGTTGCCTACCTTAATTTTTATGCTATGCTTTATTTCCAATTCATTAGTAAACTTTACTTTCGTATTTAAAGCTAAAACCCTTAAACCATATTTTTCACTCTTTTCCACTCATCTATTAAGGAGTTTTTGTAATGCCTTTTCACTATCTGTGACATGAGCAACTAAATAATCAAAGTAATTATTTAGTGACCTGTTTTAACATTCCTCAAAATATGATGACTATGATAAGGGATTATAAGCTTTGCATTATATATATATATAAATATATATATATATATATATATATATATATATATATATATATATATATATATATATATATATATATATATATATATATATATATATATATATATATATATATATGTGTGTGTGTGTGTGTCTGTGTGTGCTGATAACCACAAGGAAACAGTAAAACACGAAGTTCAGAAGCGCTTTCGTGTAATTCACATCTTCAGGGGTGAGTAGAGACTAAGGAGTTATACTTGACAAGGCTAATATATACAGTGTATAATAATTAAGAAGATTAGTAACATTGTGGACACCTGCTGTCCCCTAGGGACTTGATCTCACTCTCCTCTCCTGTATATATTAGCCTTGTCAAGTATTAATCCTTGGTCTGTACTCACCCCTGAAGATGTTAATTACAGGAAAGCGCTTGGGAACTTCGTGTTTTCTTGTTTCCTTGTGGTTATCAGTATACTTGGATCAAGCGCACCTACAGTGATTTACTTGCATATATATAAATATATATATATATATATATATATATATATATATATATATATATATATATATATATATATATATATATATATATATATATATATATATATATATATATATATATATATATATATATATATTTCATCATCATATATGGAAACACCCGAGCATCGACCGATACTAGTTCCATCACTTCAGCACAACACTGCCGAGGGAAAGCTTGCTGCACAATGAATCATTTACTCTCACTTTATCTGCAGTAACCTTTATGAGTGAAGATGTCAACTACAGGCTCACCCTCAAATGGTCGCAGCAGAGCCAAGTGTGGTGGCAGGAGAGCGGGTTTCAGAGACGTCACAGTTAGTGGATCAGAGGGATATCCTCGCAAGTACTCAACCACCTTGAGACGTCCTGGTGTAGGCGCCACGATGGTGCTGAAATCTGTCTCCTCCCTCTGGAGTTGACCAATCATCCCGGTGAAGTTACCCTTCCTATCCTCTCCAAAGGAACGGTTTGGTTCTGCGTGAATCTTATAGCTGGTAAATTTAGCAAGAATGAATATTTGCTACATACACGCTAGAGAATATATATATATATATATATATACATATATATATATATATATATATATATATATATATATATATATATATATATATATATATATATATATATATATATATATATGTATACTGTGTTTCTACTAATCATGGCATAGTTTGAGTAAATTATTGCGTTTACAGTTAAGTTGCTCAAAATAAAGGAGGAGGAAGAATGCTCTTACGTACGTGAAGTTTAGTTTGTCAGCGAAGGTTTCAATAATCCTGACATCGAGGGAGTCTTTGGGCTTGACCATATTCCCGAGGTTATTACTGTTTCGCTCGAAGTCCATGTAAGGGAAATACGGGACAGCGACAATCCGTAATTCGTGCCCAAACATATTCTGAATTTGGTCTGATAGGATAAAAATAAATAAACAAAGTATTATGTAATTGGTAATAACTTATATTAAATTTTTTTATTGTACTTAATAAAGAATGATAAAATTATCCTTCAAAAATACATATAATAGAAGGTATTATAATGATCTTCACCATGTAAGATGTTATCCATAAACTGGAGGTTTGAGTTTATGTTCCACATCTGGATGAACTTGACGTGAGCCTCCCCGTTGTTGCAGTACAAACACCTCTTGTACACCCACACACGCTCACTTGTTACTCCTCCAATAGATTATTAAGTATTATTCATCGATAATTTTTTTTATTAAACAAAGAGATATGCGACAACATTATATTGTGTATGATGAAAGAAAAGTAGACATCATACAAAAGGAACTGAGAAAGTAAAGATCAGAAATAATAGCATATTGCAGACAACACTAAAACACAACAATTAGGATTATTATTAAATGCCTAATAATACACTGACCTTCTTGGGGGAGGTCTCTCCCGAGGCGCGCGTTGCCATGACTCGGTAAGCTGTACAGGGTGAAGTCAGGTACGGCCAGGTAGATGGCATGGATGGTGTTGCGGAGACTATGATGGAGGAGAACTTCCTTTACTCCTGTTTTCCCACCTATCGCTACCACAACCGTCTGTGATCGAAGCCGCAACCCCGATAAAACTGTAAACCTGTAGACAAAAATATCAGAATATTTCACTGTGCTTGTGTAGGCCTATGGCTTGTAGGCCTGTGAGGAGTGAAACTTGTAAAAATATACAGTCTCACTAAATATTAATTTGCTTGTAGTTATTTAGAGTTCCGTTGATATCAGTAGGATGCCGGAGACTGTCGATAATTATGGTCCAACAGAGCGGTCACTTCTTCCACAAAAGGGGAGATAATCAGAGTCAAAACAGGTGTATATATACTGTGTGATATTTACAAGTCTAAATAAAGTACAGTTAACTAGACTGGCCCCGTGATCTGTTACTCTAAGAGTTCTGGTTGAGTCGCGCTGTACTGAGGCAGGCTCATTCGCTAGGTCACGGTAGGACGCCACCCTCCGGGAGGCTCCACATTGTCTCACTGTCCAGTCCCCAAAACTTCTTCTTCCATCAATAGTTCATTAACAGTGTAAGTGCCACCATGTTTTTCACTACAACGGTACAGCAAAGTATATTTTTTTAGCATTAAACTGTTATTATTTTATTGTCTAATCATCACTACATATAACACCATCCATCATCACTACATATAACGTCATTCATCATCACTACATATAACATCATTCATCATCACTACATATAACACCATCCATCATCACTACATATAACACCACCCATCATCACTGCATATAACACCATCCATCATCACTACATATAACGTCATTCATCATCACTACATATAACATCATTCATCATCACTACATATAACACCATCCATCATCACTACATATAACACCATCCATCATCACTACATATAACACCATCCATCATCACTGCATATAACATCATCCATCATCACTACATATAACACCATCCATCATCACTACAGATCGGTAAAGTAGTTTCCGAGAGTCTCGTGCGGACACACAAACACACAGACATAATTCTTAGTTTTATATATATATATATATATATATATATATATATATATATATATATATATATATATATATATATATATATATATATATATGTGTGTGTGTGTGTGTGTGTGTGTGTGTTTGTTTGTTCAGCAGATGCATTGTATTATGCAACAATCAATAAACTTTTCCTTGCACATGGTGGATGTTCCTAGATGATTGTAACTGAAAGAGGAATTTTCTTGTTTAGCTTTAAATATAAACTTACCTGAGGAAAAGTTCGGTACTGTTACTGGCTGTGAGGTCAAGGATGAGTGCCCGGCAGGTAGTTCTGGTGTCCCCCCACAGCCCCTGGAGGAGGTGGTCCTGGGCCAGCTGGTCCTGAGACAACACCCACCCTGCCTCCACTACCATGCCAGCCTCCATACCCATACTCATGTGTTTGAAAGACACAGTGTTATTATTATTATTATTATTATTATTATTATTATTAATTATTATTATTATTATTATTATTATTATTATTATTATTATTATTATTATTATTATTATTATTATTATTATTATTATTATTATTATTATTATTATTATTATTATTATTATTATTATTATTATTATTATTATTATTATTATTATTATTATTATTATTATTATTATTATTATTATTCACGTAGAGACAGTAGTACTGAGCCAGATGATCCTAGAAGTGCATCCACTTAAATTTTGCTTACACGTCATCCTAAGTACACGCACATGTTGAATATTAAAGTCAATACTTTTATTATTATTTTTTTTAAGAAAATGGCGTTGTAAAGAATAATGATTTACCTTAATAAAGTGGAGGTTACGAGAGAAGAGTATGACGTGGTGACAAGCACCAGGTGACAGCCGGGCAGATTGTGTTTCACTACGTGACCCACCATCACGCCCACATCCACGCCCAGCTGCTCCACAGGATCAATCATATCCTGACTAACTACTAGTGTAACACTCACCACCGTGGCAGCCACCGCCACTATGTGATATCCGGGTAACAGCATCTGAGGTGAGACAATGAAAAATCACAGGTTTTGTGTGATTTACCTCAACATTCATGTAAATTACAGGGCAATTCTAGCTAGTCAGAAAGTGGACCATGCAGGGTAGAGGTGGTAAGACATGGGTAAGAAAAGTAAGGTCACGAGAAACAACTATAGGTTCATGATTAACGAATACACAGCTTCCGAAGAACACGATCACTTACTACTATCTATTTCTGGTAAAGTTTGCCCATATAAATGAAAAATTTTTCTTTGGTGGAAAATATAGGTTAAAGGCCCCAAAAATCCAACCTGTGCGTCATTGTTAAAATTCTCCTGAAAGTTATATGTATTATTTGAACCCTGTACAGGCTGTGCTGAGTAGGGACCCCAGAAGGAGGGTCGGGGGCAACTGTGGCAGTCTGTTGCCCGGGCCCCCAATAAAATAATCAGAGAGCCACAAAATTATAAGAGATATACTGTACAGACGCACGCAAATTAATAGCGTTGGGAAATTTGTTGTCTACCATTATCAGGGTGTGAAAAAAGTGATAATATGTACGGTATACTTTGATCTTGGAGTGTGACCACTGAAGTCCCATCATATAATTCTACCCCGGGCCCCCTTTAAGCTCGGGAGCGGGGGGGGGGGGGTTGCTGGTGTTAAGGGTAGGTGTTCTTTAAAATCAAAATCAGAATTGTTGTAGCTGTTATAACAATTTGAAAACTTTCATTTCGGTTTTGCAAAAAATCAATATGATACACTAAAACAACATAAATAGAATAGTTCAGGTCAGTTGAAGGACAACAGTGACGTCGAGCGCTTCATTGAGTGGCACAATACACACTCATCATCTGACTCAATCATTACAACAATGTGTACCTGACTCATTGTCGACCGGGATTGTCGCCTATAAATCAGTAAACTGTGATGATGCAATAAACGTAGGAGTCACATAACAGCGACAGAAGTAATATGTAAACATTTGTAGACGTGAAACTGCAGCAGTAAAGGAAAAGGAAATTCATTGCAAAAATTGCAATGGTTACTTCATCACCTCATTTCAAGCGTTGATTCCCACTTCAGAAAACCTCTCTTGTTGCATCAAAGTAAGTCCTCACTTTAACGCCTCTGCTTCTTGTCGTATCTTCCTCTAACTTATACCAGCAGTGTATCAACTTGACCAACGAGTTTGGAGGCTATTGGAATACCCTTTGCCAGTTCTCTCCATGTAATCATTTTGCTTTTAGGTGTTATTAATATTATTAGTAGTAATGGTATTATCATCATCACTATTACTATTATTTTTCTTCTTGCAATTATCATTGTTTTATATAAATATAAAATTTTAATGTCAAAGTTTTCTGATAAAAATTTTTCAGTGTAAACCTTGTTATTAGAATTCTGTTTATGGCGTTTTACGTAACGTTATTTTATTTCGCACTTTTTCAGCATTGCCACGCAGGATTTTGAATGACAGGTTGTGTACGTTTGTTCTTCATTTTAATGTAAAGTAATCGTACAGTAAGAGATACTGTTTGAAAACATTATCTCAAAAACGTGTATATGTATATATATATATATATATATATATATATATATATATATATATATATATATATATATATATATATATATATATATATATATATATATATATATATATATATATATATATATATTTCATGTAAATCCACAATGAAAACGTGGATAAGATAAATCTTGATAAAATCACACGGGAAAATGGAAACAACGGAGTTGCCTCTGAAGATGTCTTGAATAAAGACGAAAGCTAAGGTGCTCCGTTGTTTCCATTTTCCCGTGTGATTTTATCAATATATATATATATATATATATATATATATATATATATATATATATATATATATATATATATATATATGCTGATAACCACAAGGAAAGAAGAAAACACGAAGTTCCCAAGCGCTTTCGTGTAATTCACATCTTCAGGTTACCTACAATCATACATATTCTACATTTCAGATACAAATGCTTTAATGGCAATGATGTCACGTAACACATACTTTTCATAACTCAACACTAGACAACATGAACATAAATTTTATCGATGTGAAAATAATTTTCAAAATAATCTGGCAATATCAAAATTATTGGAGTTCCTTACAATTCTGATAAACATACAATACTTATCAACCCTATTACACACTCTGAATGTTCATCATTTCCCACTCATAGTAGGCATGAATAAATTCATTCAGAGAACTCTCGTGACAACAGTTGTTTAATGCTTGCCAGTATGAATAAATGGGACAAGGTCTAAGTACATCTGCCGTTGTTAGTAGAGGGTTTAACTGTCCAGCAGTTGCTACGGCTTTCCTTTGCTTCCAAAAGTCAAGGCGGGGTCGTTCAGTGTACGACCGTGTTTTCACCGTCCCCTCCTCCTGCCACCGCCGGATCCATCTGTACACGGTGGACACGCTGGCTCCACTCTTACGGGATATATCCCGAGCTGTCATGCCGTCCAGCCACATCCACACGATCATGATGCGGTCAGCCATGAGAGTTCGATTGTGGGAAGTTTGTTTGTCCATGAAGTTGAGGCTCTGCCAAACAGACGATTAATGTTTATCGCTATTTTAAAATCGTGGATCGGTAACTGTGCGTGTGTGTGTGTGTGTTTTACTTCTTATAAATAGGACTTATTCTCCTAATAAACTTCTACAATAACTGACGCTTTTTGTAGCAGTTGAAGTTTGAGGTTGTAGATCACCCACCTAACAACCTTGAACTTGAGCCACCTGAGTTTCACCTCTGATTGAAGCTTTGAGGGGATGTCGTTTTACTAATTACTATTTGGTGCTAGTGTGGCTTCTTGCGAAGTCGAAAACCTTTCTTTTGATGGTATACAAAATCCTGTGCACTGCTGGACTGTGTTGAAAAGTAGGTGGTTTTGTGTATTATTTTTTTTTCCAGTCATGTAATAAGTAGGTGTGATATAAATAAAACACATTGAGATCTTGCTTCCAACGTCCGTGGTCTCGGATTTATTTACTAATGTTTAGGGTTGTTGGGAGGGGGTTGTCAACTGTGGGTTCAGGTAATCCTCAGCCTGAACCTGGCAAAACTCGACCGAGATCAATCTCACACTGAAAATTCTGACTGCGCCTACCTCTAATGCTCCAGTTGAGTGTGTATTTAGCCGTAGTGGATAATAATGTGGCCACATAGTTGCTGAACATCAGTAAAATGCATTATTAGTACATGGACTTATTTTAAGTGTTTTGAACACTTTCATGTTTTAAATACAGTAAATAAAAAGATAGCGTACCTGGAACTGATCAACAAATCTGATGTAATCGATGTGACCCTAATAAATAAATAAGAATTAAAGTGTACCCTGTATATGTTCAATTATCCATAGGTATATAGTGAAAGTGAAAATAATGCAAACATATAGTAGGTGGCTCACACAAATTTTGTATTTTTTGTTTAAATAACACTGACAGTCCCTCATTCTATTTTAAAAATATGTCCCAAAACCAAGATGTCGCTTCCTAATTGTCATCATGATTTCTCTTCTCATATTTGCCGTCTCCAGCACCTCCACGTTTCTCACCCTAGCCGTCCACGGTCTCTTCATCATCATAAGCCAACACCTCATCCCTATCTTCTCATTTCTTTGTTCATGTTCCGAGTTTATCATCCGTGTGATATTACTCACCACAAAAAAGTCATAGTTGTGGCAGCTCTTTTTTTTATTCTAATTTTGTTGTGTCTAATTGTTCGCAGGTTTTCATTTTCTCAAAATTTTTTTGCCTTATTTATTATTTTCATGATCATCTCTCAACTGATGTTTGAATACTCAAGCAGAAAAACTGTTTATTTAGTTAATGGTAGAATAGCTTATGCCGATGTTACATTGTGGATTTCTTATACAACTATAGTTTGTTTCGTTTATGTTCATATTTAATCCCCGTGATTCATCTCCGTCACTCACCCCGTGTACTAACTTCTGTAACTTCTTTTGGTGTCTTTTAAATAGGGATAATCGCCGAGTAAGCTTGAAATAGGAACTGACGTTTATGCCCAATTAGATTAACGTTTTGCATTTGTTACTACAATTTAATGGAAATTAATTCGTTATAATAAAATTTCCTCTATTTCGTTCAAGACGTCGCTGACCAACATAACACAACCAAAATAAACCTAAAATAGGTTAGGTTAGATTAGGTCTTCAATCATACTATTAATTTTTATGTATTATGAAGATCTACGTGATAGTCAATGACCAGTCAAAAGCTTCTAGTAAAATGATTGTGTATATATATATATATATATATATATATATATATATATATATATATATATACACACACAGGGAGTGCAGGTGATAGAAAGAGGAGTGTGACCAAGAGAGAGAAAGAGAAGGAAGCAGAACGGCGAAGACAAAGGAAGAAGAGATCAAGAGAGAATGCGAGTAAAGTGAGAGAGAGAGAGAGCAAAGACATAGCTGGAGAAGGTGTTTCAGTTAGGATAATTTTACCCAAATTGTCCTCTAAACCAGCTTGAATCTTGTCAGTGATCCCGATGGAAAAAAAATGGCGGATAGAGAAAGAGAGCAATGGCCGTGAAAGAGAGGAGAATAACAACGCGGGTGAAAGAGAGAAAAGTGTCAGAAAGTGAAAGGAGAATGTCAGTGAATGAAAAGAAAATGTCAGAAAGAATTTGAAAAAAGTGATATATAAAAGAGAGGAGACTGAGAGAGTGAAAAGGGGGAGTAACAGTGAAAGAGAGGAGAGTAAAAGAAAGTGAAATGTCAAAGAGGTATGAGACAGAAAGAGAAAAAGTGAGAAAAAGCATTGAGTGTGAGGATGAGAGCAGATGAAGCCAAATCTCGCTCAAAACAAATAAACATTTAAAGAAACACATAAAACATAGTGTATTTCCTAACAAGTGTCTATAGACAAACAACTCCAGTACATCAGGGGTGACCCATCCACGATCCTTAAATCTCGTATCCTGGTAATGATGTTAGGTACACAATACATACAAGTACTATATAACTCTATTTAAAGGTCTTGTAAGCAGCTGGGTACTAATTGAATTGCAGTAAGAAGGGTATAGGGGTGCATGGACAAATAATGGAAAATAGTTTCCTTTTGATATTTCGTATATTATTCATTATACAATGGAATACACCTTTTCACATTTACGTTGAGACATTGTTATATAGAAATTTGACATATTTAACAACCAAATAACAGAACACATATCTAATGACATTCTAAAATAACTGTTCGTTCATGCTAACGGAAATGATTGACATAAGTTATGAAATTGACAGACGTGAACAATAAACCGACAGTCTACATATAGTTTGAGATTGTAACACTTGCAGATTGACATATCACCATAAGATTTTGACAAACAGATAATAAATTGACAAACAACATAACAACTACCATACCCCTTGGTGCATTTTACACAGGGGCCGGTCATTTTACACAGAGGGGTTGAACACCTGAAACCATGAAACATCAATCGAAACAGTGGTATGTACCGGAGATTCAGTGAAACAGTGAATACGAGGTGACTTGGTGTGCTATCTGTAGATCGGCAGCATTCCCGAGACACCCACTCGAGGAGTACTGTTCATAGTAGGTCTGGCACACTTCGGAAGCATCCTGCTATGCCTCGCAGACGATATCGCCGGGTGTCAGACGAAGATCGTGATGGATTAATTACTCGATATGAAGCTGGGGAGGATTTTCTGGACACTGCTGCCGAGCTACGAATTCCAAGAACTACAGAATATGAAAGAATTCGCAAGTTTGTGGAGACAGGAGAAAACAGGAACTACGTGGATGAGGAGGACGACGACCACCTGTGCTGGATGACGAGGCGAAGGACTTTTTGGTGATGCTTGTTGAGGCTACACCAACGATCACCATTAGAGAACTTAACCATACACTTCGGCAAACATTTCCAGGCAAGCCACATGTATGCAACATGACTGTGTCTAGGGCTTTGGATGGCGAACTTATTACTCTGAAACAGTTACACAATGTACCGGCTAACCACAATTCAGAGGACGTTAAAGCCGCTCAGTACATGTATGAGGATGGCGTTCATCAACATCGTGTGTACGTCGATAAAACCGGCTACAACCTGTATACGTGTAGGACCTACGGCCAGGCTCCACTGGGACTATGCGTCAACAGGATCGTTGCAGGGCAGCGTGGCAGTAACGTGACATTGATAGCAGCTATCTACAATTTGGCAAGCCTATATTCTAATTCAAACATTAAAATTGACAGACGTGAACAATAAACCAACAGTCTATGCAGACTGTCGGTTTATTGTTCACGTCTGTCAATTTCATAACCTTTGTCAATCATTTCCGTTATCATGAGCGAACAGTTATTTTAAAATGTCATTCGATATGTGTTCTGTCCTTCGGGAATGAAATATGTCAAATAGGTATATAACAATGTCTCAACGTATATGTCAAAAGGTGTATTAATTTAAAAAATTTCTTGTCGGCAAAGTATCGTAAAACAGTAAAACTATTTTGTTTTAAATTCTCTGTGAAGCATTTATATCTTAAAGGAGAATACCAGAGAATATTAACGAAACTAACTTACGGTACTGAAGGAAGCAGAGGTGTTCTATTAGTGGTGGCTTCACCAGTCAAACGCTCCCATTAATGTCTCCCTGGTACATGTATAATCTGGAGGCAGCAGCGGCGCGCATGAAGGAGGAGTTCCATTAATGACGTCATAGCCATTTAATGCTCCTACTGGGCGATAAAATTAATCGCAGATGTACGATGATATAAGAAAAGAAAATATTTTACATTCATAGAAACATGGTTATATTTTACATAAGTACAGTATGTTCAATCGATTATGTATGTATATATATATATATATATATATATATATATATATATATATATATATATATATATATATATATATATATATATAATGTAAATCCACAATGAAAACGTGGATAAGATAAATCAACTGGATTACATGGACAGAGAGTGGCTTAAATATACAGGGTGACCTTAAAAACATGAGGTCAGGTCATAATGATGTCATCCACTAATTCCCACACCAACACACACGTAGAGGAGCTAAAGAGAAGGGGGTAACGTGACTAGTCAGGTCAGGTCAAAAATAAGGGACCCACAAAATAACTATCATACATCTAGATCAAAGGTTTTCAAAGCCTTTTTAACCTTGGGCCACTGACAAATAAATTTATGTAACATATTATCAGTTTTGAACTGACCATCACTAAGGTTTATTGATTTAATTCCTTAATCAAACTAGCTTCAACCAGGAGTCTTTCTGTGACACAAGATGATTTAAATACCTCTAAGCTTTTTTCCCAAGCAATGGGATGATTATTATTCCTAACATAACGAACAGTGCACTGCTTTCAGTTGCCGTTCTGATATTGTACTTTTGCTGTTTGATTCTGAGTTGCAATGCTTTCCCAGTCTGTGCTACATAATTTCCATTACAGTTCCAAACGACCTAAATAATCCAGCCGCTCTTTTTGTAGAAACTCTGAGAGATAATTTTCTATTCCAACGTGTTAAGAAACTGACTCACTACTGAGGGGAGCAACACCCAAGGTGTTGGACCTCATCATAACTAACGAGGAGGGTTTGGTGGCCAAGCTGGAACATCTAGTCCCAGTTGGCACCAGTCACCACGTAACGTTATCTTTCAGATTTAACTGTTATTTGGTTCAGGACAAATCCAGGTTCAGGTTCAAATATTACAAAGGAAATTACGATGGGATGAGGGAGGAGATAAGAAGTATACACTGGCCTGACTTACTAAGGAAGAAGAACGCAGATGCTACGCTGAATATCATAGCCAAATGTACACCTAAGTCCAAAGCCAGTGCCTTCAGGAGTACAAGGAGACCGCTACACATGAAACATGCGGAGGTCGGCAAAGAAAAGAAGAAAACTTAGGATTTCGAGACGTGGGTTAGGTCTAATGAAGAGTAGGATAGGAGAATGTCTGTCAGATCCAGGAACAAAGCAAAGTCAGGGTGTAGAAGGGGTGAAGAGGAGTTCCAGAGGCAGATTGCAAGTGAGGTGAAGTCAAACCCAAAGGCTTTTTACCGCCACGCAAGTCGAAATTAAAAACACGAGTCGACATATCGGACCTGAGGCTTGAAGATGGTCGTTATGCAGACTCTGACGTTGATTTTTTTTTTCATCTGTGTTCATAAGAGAGAATGCGAACAATCTTCCTGTGTTTTAGGAAAGACGGTTTGGCACAGCACTGACCCACATTGTGTTCTCGGACGAGGTTATAAGAAATATACTGCCAAAGCTAAAAATTCACAAAAGTCCCAGCCCAGATATGGTACACCCCAGAGTGTTAAGAGAATTGTGTAACGAGCTTGTGGAGCCCCTTAAGATTCTGTTTTGAAAATGCCCAGAGGAGCAAAAGGTTCCCGATAACTGGAAGATAGCTTATATAAGCCCTATATTCAAGAAGGGCGATCGTCACTTCATGAATATTTACAGACCAGCGAGCCTGACCAGTATAGTTTTTTTTTTATTTATTGGGCACCCCCCTACATCCTTGTGTAAGGTGAAGCGCAGAAGTGTTTACAGCGCCCAACAGGGAAGCATGCTAAGTTCATGCTCGCCTTTATGTCTCACGAGTTAAGGGCGTAGAAGCCTGAAGAGTCAAGGGCGTAGAAGACTGAAGAGTCAGTGGTTTATGTCATCAAGTTATTGGAAGCTCCAACAACTTTCTCTTAATACGAATTCGCAACTTTCGACTTACAACAGGTACCTACTTTACTGCTAGGTGAACAGGGACTAATGGGGGCTAGGAAGTAAGTCCAAACAACTTCCACCGGCCCGGGAATCGAACCCGTGACATCTTGCTTGCGAGGCAAGAACGGTACCGCTTCGACCACCGGTCCCCCGACCAGTATAGTGTGCAAAATAATAGAGAGCATCGTATGAGATGCCACGATAGAACATCTGCGACGAAACAACCTTGTAAAGGAATGTCAAAACGGTTTTATGCCGGGACGATCCTGCTTAACACAATTACTCAAATTCAAGAACAAGGCGGAAATGTCGATAATATGTACTTATATTTTGCCAAGGTCTTTGACAGTGTACCCCCATGAAAGGCTGAGAATTAAACTGGAAGGGTACAGGATTCGAGGAAGTGTCCTAGCGTGTATCGGAGACTCTGCTTGACCACACACAGAGAGTAGTGATAAATGGTATGAAATCGTTATGTGTACCTGTGACTTACGGGGTACCATAGGGCAGTGTATTAGGCCTGTTATTATTTGTCGTTTCATTAATGACATGCCAGAAGCTATACACTCCTCCATACAAATGTTTGCTGATGATGCCAAATTATTTAGGGAAATTAAAAACCAAACAGACTGTGAAGAGCTTCAAGAATGGTCGAGAAAACGGCTACTAAGACTCAATGTCACGAAGTGTAAAAGGATTCACCTGGGTCGCACGAATAGTAAGGAGGCGTATTTGAATTTACCAAAGGAGTCTGCTGAACTTTTAGGATCTAGGTTGAAATCAAAGAAGTTATTGACCAAAGGAACATATTTTTCATGGCATAGGCAACGTGAACAAGAACTAGTTCATTTTTTCGGAGGAAGGCTCCTTGGTTTATTTTAATAATGTGTCTGCTTTAATTAACTATTTTGACATTACCTATACAGCTACTGAATGGAGGTTGTTCATTGATTCTCCAAAAACAAGTCTCAAAGGAACTTTACTTCATAATGGAAATGTATTTTCATCAATTCCTGTAGCTCACTCTGTTCATCTTAAGGAAACTTATGAAAAATTGCAGATACTTCTAGAGAAAGTTCATTATGAATATCACTGTTGGTTGGTTTGTGGAGATTTCAAAGCCAATGCTTTGTTGCTTGGTCAACGAAAATGTCATGTTTTTTTGTGAGAGTGGGACAGCAGAACAAGACGTGAACATTGGGACAAAAATCACTGGCCACCTAGACAGGCTCTTATGCTAGGTTCCAAAAATATTCTACATGAACCATTGATTGACCCTAAGAAAGTGCTGTTGCCTTCTCTGCATATTAAATTGGGGTTAATGAAACAAATTGAAAAAGCCCTAGATAAGGAAAGTGATTGCTTCAGGTACATAAGTAGGGAATTTCCATCAGTCACATATAAAAAAAATCAAAGCAGGCATTTTCGTGGGCCCTCAAATCCGAAAGTTAATGTTGGACCACCAATTTGAAGAATCGATGAACCAGTGTGAGAAAAAAGCATGGAATAGTTGAAGGTATGTTGGAGGTATGTTGAATAACTTTAAAAACATTGGCTGCAATATGAGTGTAAAAGTACACTTCTTGCATTCCCATCTTGAGTATTTTCCTGAAAATTTAGGTAGTTTAAGTGAAGAGCAAGGTGAAAGATTTCACCAGGACATTAAGGAAATGGAAAAGAGATATCAGAAAGGTGGAATGTGAACATGAAGGCAGACTACTGCTGGTTGCACAAGAGAGGTTGTGCCAGTGAAAAGATTGCCAGAAAATCGAGAATAAAAGAAAGTTTCACCCATCCTTGAAGCCTAATATTATGTTCATACACATCCATATACTGTATATCATTTCTTTCTGTATTTGCAGGCAAATAGCCTTAATCACAATAATCTTTAGGTTTAGTTAACTTTGAAGCCTTACTGAATTGTCTTATTTGTATTATATTGTCATACTTGTATGCTGTATTTGTGTATGTATAAGTTATATTATCTTGTCTTATATATATATAATTAACGACCTCACCAGCCAGGAATCGAACCCTCGACCTACTGGGTGGGACTAGGGAATGCTACCGACCAACCCACAAGGACACTAAAAGCAGACCTAGACTCTGTTATATTTCACACAAAGCCTGTTCATCGAGCTGATGGCGCCGTGAACCTCATTGGGAACTGCCCGTGCCTCGTATGTGGTGTCAGTCGCATTTTACCGAATCCAGTTGGTATGAAACACGAGGCACGGGCAGTTCCCAATGAGGTTCACGGCGCCATCAGCTCGATGAACAGGCTTTGTGTGAAATATAACAGAGTCTAGGACTGCTTTTAGTGTCCTTGTGGGTTGGTCGGTAGCGTTCCCTAGTCCCACCCAGTAGGTCGAGGGTTCGATTCCTGGCTGGTGAGGTATTATATGTTCAAAGTCCGTGTTATATGGATATATAATATATATATATATATATATGGTACCTCGTGTTTCATACCAGCTGGATTCGGTAAAATGCTACTGACACCACATACGAGGCACGGCAGTTCCCAATGAGGTTCACGGCGCCATCAGCTCGATGAACAGGCTTTGTGTGAAATATAACAGAGTCTAGGACTGCTTTTAGTGTCCTTGTGGGTTGGTCGGTAGCGTTCCCTAGTCCCACCCAGTAGGTCGAGGGTTCGATTCCTGGCTGGTGAGGTCGTTGATTATATGTTCAAAGTCCGCGTGTTATATGGACTAAAAAAGTATATATATATATATATATATATATATATATATATATATATATATACATATATTTATATTTCATGTAGATCCACAATGAAAACGTGGATAAGATTAATCTTGATAAAATCACACAGGAAAAAGGGAAACAATGGAGAACCTAAGCTTTCGTCTT